TTTATTGCACTTCTATGAAAACAATTAACTGTATCTGGCTTTAAGCCATAATCAGTGAAACTTACTGCTTGAGGTAAAAGACTCTTAGAACTACAATTAACTTTGTTTTGAGCTTGAATTTGGGTATGGTTATCTCATTAATCAGTATTTCCCATTTTCCCTCTTATGATCCATTAAGGAGGAATGTTTCTCACCATGTGCTGAAATTTTGTTCATCACACTATTAAACTTGTTAGAAATATTCCCAGACAAAAATAATTTATTGTATGGATGATAAACTTTGCAGTTGTCCTACTACTACCAAACTTTTCTTATTAATGCCCAAGTTTTAACAAGCTTTTCAGTCAACAAGCCTTTCAGTCTCATAGATTTATAATTACCCCTGAAAGGGTACAGAGGGTGTACAGAGGGGTTGAAAATCAGTTGTGGAAGGCGTGGGCAGCCTTAGGCCCATAAACATCACGAATTTGCAAAGGACCTTCCATGATAATATGACAATGCAAGCTTGTTTGACTGGTAATCATGCATTTATGTGGGGAAGAGCACAGAATGTTAATATAATGGCCGTGGATTCAGGGGAATATAATGTCACTTGTGTTAATTGCAGGATGTCTGAATGTATAGGAACCAAGATTAGAGACCAAATTATTTTTGTTATTACACAACAAAAGTTTGCCTTGGTGCCTGTGAAAAGCAAAGATTGGTATGAGTCACGTTCTGATCATATTTTTGGAATAATAGACCAAAGCAATCAATTAGCAGTTGCTAGGAAAAAGAGATGTATTTCATGTGTAGCATTAAGAATTGTTTCACTTATAGCTATCATAACTGCTTCTGTGTCTTTATCTCAATCTCTATCTATCAAGAAATGAAATGGTTCAAGCTGATTTTATGATCAATTAGCTCGCAATGTATCTAAAGGTTTTCAAACACAAAAAGGATAGATGATGAATTTACCATATGCTTGAGGGAATGAAGGAAACCATTATTGAAATAGGTGATGAATTGGATATTTTAGAATATAGAACACATTTGAAATGTGATTATAGGTATGAATTCATTTGCCTTACCAATGTTAAATACAATAAATCCCAATGAGATTGGCAAAGAATACGTAGGCATCTAAATGGGCTGTTTGGAAATTCTGCTATTGCAGTGGATATCGATGACTTATGTGAAATTGCTAAAGATATTGCAAGGGCGGCTGATAAAGACTTGATGCCAGACAAAACTGCATAACATATACTTGATTGGCTAGATAAACGCCGTAACCCTTTTGATAAGCTTGGACATTGGCTTATGTCTCCATTGTCTTCTTTGTTGCCACTATGTTCGCTATTGCTGGCCATGCTGTGTTTTGGACAGTGTTTGCTCAGGTGCATAGCTGATCAGATAAAGGACTTTGGGACTGAGCTTCATATGCTCCATCTCCAACAAAAACAAAAAGGGGGAATTGCTGGGGATCTGTAAGGATAGAGAGGGCCACAGGCTGTTCATGAGGTCTCACTGACGGGTGAAGGCCCCTCTCCGGTGCTGATCTTTGAGCAAAGGTCGCCTGGCTTGGTGCTCCATTGTATAGATCTTTAACAATCTTTAACTCCCCTAGTTATTGTATGGTCATTAGCAGTCTATTCTGGGACTGGAGTCAGATAAGTGCACAGGACGTGCATGCACTGTCCTAGAGCACAGCATGGGCTATACGTCATTGTAACTTGAGAAAGAGTTCCTGTTATTTTACTATATAAGTAAGTGCTTTGCTAAAAATAAACAGAGTTGCTTCCATCCTGCCTCCTGCCTCATCAATGCGCATTTGAGATAGAAAATCAAGCTGGTCTTGATTCATCAGGTGATTGGGAAATCCTAGGCCCTAGGTAGGCTCTATAGCCAAGTGAACTAGTTGTGCACAACAAAACCCAAGAAAAATAAAGCAAAAAAAGTATGCTTTGATTTGCATTCAGACCCCACCAGTTGTGATACTATCGTTCAACAAAACTGTGGATTAAAAAAAGAAATTTACCCAAGTACGGCCTCTCTGGCCATATTCTCTAGCTACTTGTCCCAGGATGGCCTGTTGAGACCTTGGATCCCAAACTCTTTTGGCCCTCAGGGAAGAGGGGCTCTGCATACTGGCCCACGGGGGAGCCAGTGTGACCCAAGCTTCTTCAGTGAGATCGCTATGATCTGACTGGCCTTTCTTTTGGGACCCCTAGTCCTACCTGGGGAGATGTCACGGGGCCAGGAGGGACAAACTGTGTTTGCTTGGGATCTTTCCCTGCACAACCTAGGCGTCTCTTTTGCATATCTACTCTAAGTCACCAAGTGGCCTCTTGTTTGTCCCTTCACTTGTGAGTACAAACATCAAGGTGAATCACATGGATCTCACCCCCAGCTCATGTAGGTCAGCAGGTGTCCTTCTGCCTGAATCAATCAATCAATCAATCAATCAACAGGGGTCTGGGTTCTGTCTAGCCTGCAGTTGCAGCTGCTTCTGATCTCCCCTGGGGTGCTGGGGAAGGGGATGAGGCAGTGGAGGTGGTCCCTGGCGCTGGAGAAACCTTTCCAACTGTAACACAGAGTCAGAGGCTTTCTTTCCCTTTCATTGAAGACTATTGAAGAACTGGACATATGTGGGCTATGTATTCTCTACACCCCCAATTTTCCATCCATCCTGTGTACTCATGGGCTGCTGCACTTTGGAAGTGTGCAAGATCAAATGCCAGGGCCTTCAGGACTTCCACTAATCTCCAATGATTCTCTGGATCAACCCCCTGCCCTCTGACATTACTGCTGGGGTATTTCCTACCCCCAGATTCAAGCAATTCCCTTCCTGTACAGTGGGAATGAGTTCTTTGTAACGATGCAGGTAGGCTGGTGGTCTGCCCTCCATGACTAACTACAGCCACAGAGCCACTGGTGGTGTGGACAACAGGTGCTTGGCTGTTACAGAGGGTATGGCCACTGAATCACGAGCAGCTTCTCCCAAGAGGCTTCTTGTTATCATTCCCAACTCATCCTTCTCTCAGCAAGAAGGCTTTAAAATGTCTTAGCATCTCTTGGTTAGCAACACAGCATTTAATACCTAGTTCCCAAATGGTGCCAATCACAGTGACCTCCCTGGGGATACTGGGATGTTCTACTGTGTCAGGCAGCTGACACACTACAGCTATTCCCATATACCTTATTAAGCAGCACTTTACATCCCCCCAAAGGGCCCACAGTCAGGCATTAGTACTCAGCGGAGACCAAATCCTATGGTTGTGCACAAATTTTCTATCAGCAGAATAAGCATGGTGACCATTCCAGGATTCAAGAATGTAATTTACAACAAGAGTTCCATGAGGTCATGTCAGAAATAAACAATAAAACTTCAATGACACCGGCATTCAACAGTATAACAATTACTTAAAACAACTAATCTGGCCTGTAAGAGTTGTACTGCTAAACTCTATTATCAAATTATAGCCTAGAAAGAATAAAAAGGAAGTGGAAAGGTGTTCTAGAGCAGTTCTGAAGTTCTAGAGCAGGGAACCTTAGCTTGAGCAAAGTAGACTTATTCAATAAAAAAAAAAAAAAAGGATCCCAGATGGGCCCCAACAAAACAAAGTGCCCCTTTTGGCTACACCCAGGTTCATGGTACTCTTAAGATCGTCATCTACTTAAGTCCACAGAACTCTCACCAATGTACCTGTCTGTGCTAGGTGACACAACAGCAGAGCGCAGGGAATTTAATTAGAAAAGCAACACAAATACAAGGAATCCAATGAGTTAAGAAACATTCTTGACACCCACGTCAAAGTCTGCCCCCTCCAAAGGTATCCTGGAAGGCGCCCTCCAACTTCCTAATCAATCCTTCCATCTCCTCAGTGGGAGTGAGGCCGATCACACATGGTACCAGGGCTCAAAATCAGTTCAAAGCTGTTTGGCTTCGTCACTGCCTTTTCAATCTCAGCACAGCAGTCAATCACACACTTACTTCTCATGGCACAGAAAGTGAGAGAATGCTGCCCTCTTCTGGCTTGGGAGTGCTGACTTCTCAGGAACCAGACTCTCCCCGGCACTACCATCTCTGTGGCCCCTTTTAGGCTATGGCCCCCCCACTACTTGGCCTTCTACCTCTCCCACTAAATTGAGATGCTGCCAGTACTTGAAAAAAAAAACCTTCCCAAACTAGATTACATCATTATGGAGTGAATTCACACTCACCCACTCTGGGGGAGGGTAGGCCAGAAAATTTCCCCCAGTGAACGAGGCTCTTTTGGCTCCCAGTATTGTGTAAAGTTGATAATCCATAAACATATCCCTTCCATTAACAACGCCCTACCTTGTATCACAGTCACTGTTGTACGTCTTATCAGAATATGAATCCTAGGGTAGCTACTGCCCTGCAAACTCCACTGCTGCCCACGTAGGAAACGCACACAGTAGCACGGAGACATCACCAGGTAAAATGCATTCAGAAGACCAAGATGAGTAGGGATGCCCAAACACTAGGGCTCAAAACAAACTAGAAAAGTGTGCCTTTTGCACGAACTTAAACCTCTCTGGACCCATGGCTGTCTTGGACTTTTATCTAACCGTGGTCCTGGTTCATTTGTTTCCCACTGTGGATCCTGACACTACCACATTCTGCCTCTGAGCCCAACCTGCTTACCACCTCAGGAGAACTGACTCTTGTTATCTCCAGAAACTTCCCACTTGGTTCTAGCCCTTCCCTCAGACATATGACCTTTACAGACTGCTTCACTCAGACTACTGGACCAGCTCACTTTACAGCACCACTCTCTGGAGGCATCTCTGTCATAGCCTCTGGCCAGACCCATTCCTGCACCAATCCATTCCCTTTGTTCAGGCCGGACAGGGAGGAGAGATTATTGGACCTGGTATTATCCACCTTTGTATTCATTCTCCACAACATGGGCAAGTTTAGGACCCCACATGTACAAGACATTCAATGAACAATTCTATTCAACAAACCGATAGGAAAGGAATGTCTGACTTACCTAGTAAATAGAGATAGTTGGTCTCTGCTAATCTGGAGCGCTGTGTTTCCTGATTTAAGATGTTGTAAAGCATTGTTGGCTCACACAGGAGAAATCTAGCCATTCTATTGGGAAGGGATAATAAGGAACTTGCATAAATATATTTCTTTCCATCTTAAAAATGTCATTTACTAGGAATAGATCGATTCAAATCTCTATTTCTTAAGCTATTAAGATAGAGATTCAAAGAATCATTTAAACGTCCCTAAGAAGCAGCTTCAAAGAATTTATAATGCAGCATCTTTAGTGAAGAATAAAGGTTTCAAAAAATATCATATTAAGCAAAATGTACTTGTACTACAGGGCAGCTAGGTGGTGCAGCGGATATAGTACCAGGCTTGGAATCAAGAAGACTCATCTTCCTGACTTCAAATTTGGTCTCAGCCACTGTGGGACCCTGGGTAAGTCACTTCACCCTGTTTACCTCAGTTTCCTTGTCTGCAAAATGAGCTGGAAGAGGAAATGGCAAACCACTCTAGCATCTCTGCCAAGAAAACCCCAAATGGGATCATGAAGAGTCAGACATGACTGAAAAATGACTGAACGACTTGTACTATGCATATATATGTGTGTATATATATATGTATATATACACAAACACACATATATGTATATATATATGCATAGTATTATCCATATATATGTGTATATATATATGCACATATGAATAGGTAGAATAGAGAATGATCAGAAAGACATTTAGGGCTCTAGAGTCAATGATAAGCTATATTTTCAAGCCATTTATCCAAATCCAACTCAAAAGTTATATTAAAATCTTATTCCTTATATTGCATGTACTGTCAGACATGATCAAAATATTGGTTGGTTTTGTTAAATTGCTTTTTTTCTTTTTCTTTCCTAATATTTGTTATAGGGGATGGTTCACTGCATTGAGGAAGGAGAGGGAATATGTTTGAAGATGAATGAGATATAACAACAAAAAGCATCAATAAAAATAAAAATTTTAAAATTCTTATTCAGGAAGACATATAAACAAAATCCAGGTTTACGAGAAGCCAAGGTCATTATTTCTAATTTTCCACTGTTGCATAAATGTCTTTTTTTTCAAGGTAAAACATTTTGATTTTTTAATAGTTTACCTCATTTGCCTCATTACCTCATTAATTCACTGGAATTAATGTTTGGAGAGAAGGTTATTTCCTTCTTTCTAGTTAACACCAACTAAATGAAACTAAAAACAACAATTTCTTGAGAGCTCTCTATGCGACGTAAGCTTCTTAAGAAGCTCGTTTTATTTTTTGGTCATTTTATCTTCAGTGCCTAGCACAGGACCTAGGACTTTAAAAATGCTTTATTGACTAAAGAAATAGGAAGTGTCCTATGTCCATTCCTTTGCTAAGACAATGTGTGTGTGTGTGTACACATAAACCACTGATTAATAGAATTAGTTAGAAGGGGCTTTCATATTATATGGTCCGAAGTCCCTCGTCTTTACAGATGAGGAAACTAAAGGCCAGAGGTCATTTCACGCAGGTAGTAAACGGCAGTAAATTCTGATTTCAAAACCAGCACATGCTCTACTGCAACCATAGAATTGCTTGTGCAATGGAGCATCCGCTGGTTTTGAAACCAGGATTTACTGCCACTTAACCACAAAAACAAACAAAAAACATTCCTAAGACACACTCCAGTTGGGTCCTCAGCCAGTGTCTAAATAAATTAAAGCTTCATAATGAAAAAAACCCAAAAACAACAATTCAGCACATGCTCCATTTCACCAGGCTATATATTAACGTCGTGCCTCTATGTACACATAGTTTGTATCTGCAAGTGTATGTAGATGAGTGAATGTCTTCTGGGAGGAAAGTTACAGGGGCATGCTGATGTGGCACAAAACAAACTCTCATAATTCGGCCTGGTCGGTCCACGGCCCTTTTAGTGACCTGGGAAAGGCAGCGATTGTGTAATAGAGAACTGGCCTTGGGAAAATCTGGGTTCAAGTCCTACCTCTAACACTCCCTCGCTGTGAGGCTTTGAGAAAGTACTTGACCTCTCTGGGCTCTGGACAAGTCTCCAAGGCTGTGAGTAGCAGAGACCACTGACCTGAGGTGGCAGACCCAGTTTTCTCAGATCCAGAGATCGCTACTACCACCTTGTTTTACGGCCCGACCTTCTGGTGCAGGGCTTCAAACCTTTTGTGTGCCCTGGACCCCTCGGGCCTAAGGAGCCCTGCTCAGCTCGGGTCTTTAAATGCACAAAATAAAATAACAAAGGAAACCGATTACATTGGAATGGGGTGGACAGCCCCTCTGGCTCACGACTCCGAACCTGGGTCACAGCCCCGGGCCAGACGGGACTCTGGGCCCCAGATTCACCTTTGTATTCCTCATGGCGATTTATTATTACTGCTATTATTATTACTATTGTTACAGCTAGTGCTCCCCTCCCCCTCCTCCTCCTCCTCCTCCTCCTCCTCCCTCCCCTCTTCCTCTCTCCTGCCTCAGCCTCCGCCTCCACAGGGGCTTCTTCCTCCGCTTCCGCCAGCAACTGGTTGCGAAGGACCAAACTCTCGACGGTTGCTAAGTCCAAATCCCACCAGCCTCCCGATTCTCGCGTGATTTGAACCCTCCCTTCCCCCACCCCGGCGCCATCCCTGTCAACCCTGGCAGGCTGACGGGCCGGCCGGCAAGCGAGAAGGCGGACAACGGGAAGGAGGGGGCGGGAAAATCTCGCGGGATTTGCAAAGCTGACCTCGCGAGATTGAACCTGGCTTGGTCTGGCCGGAGTGGGAGGGGGGCGTGGCCCGGAGACTGCGTTGAATCTCGCGGGGTTGGAATCCGAGAATTAAATGGGGCTGTGCGTGCTTGCGTGATGTGTGCGTGCTTGCGTGTTGCTTGCGTGCTGGAGGTCGTTGGAGTCACCGGCCGCTCTCCTTCCCGGCCCCGGACGCGCGCCCTCCGTCAGTCCCACCATGCTGTCGACCTTCGCCCGCCCCGTCGGCGCCGCCCTCCGCCGCGGCCTAAGCACCTCGGCGCAGGTAAGGCCCGTCTGACAGGAGGCCGAGGCCCCGGGGCCGGGACGTCCTGACAGGAGGGGCCTGCCTTGCCCTTTACAGAGGGGGAAACAGAGGCTCGGCGGGTGAAGGCAGCGCCGTAAGGTCACAGGATGACAGGCAGTGGAGCTGGAGGGGGGGAAGGGTGAGACTTTTCTGTACGGGGGGGAAACTGAGGCTTGTGAGGTGAAGGGACGTCGTAGTGTCGTAGGATTACAGATAATAAAGCTGGAGGCCTGTGAGTCCTCCGGAGAACGGAGGCCCGGGAGCGGAAGGGAACTTCAGAGGGTCGGACGATGACAGGTGCTGGCGGAGTGCCAGGCTCACACGTGCTGGCAGAAAGATGGGCCTTGTCCTCCAGGAGCAGACAGCGTGTAAAAGGGAACTGAAGAGGGGTGGGAAGGAAAAGGGGGCATGGTGCGGAAGGCCAGAGAGTCAGAAGCATGGCCCACCCGGTCCTGTCCTCAAAATGAAGGACCCCCCCACACCCACCCACCCACCCTTCTCTCTCACCCCCTCCAAGGGGCTCATCAGCGGGAGAAGGGGGATGTTCTAGGACAGGAAGCCCTATGTTACAGCTGAGGAAAACGGGCGATCAGAGGTTGCAACAGGCCCTTGGTCACCTGATGACTCATAGGAAGGATTTGAACTCGAGGTCTTTTTTAAAAATAATACTTTAAAAATATTATTAAATCAATAATTATTAAATTAGTTTTAACTCATTTTTATGAATTTTATTTCTCAATTACGCGTGAAAACAATTTTTAATATATTCTTTTTAAGTTTTGAGCTTTACATTCTATTCTTTTCTTCCTCTCCCCCCTTCCTGAGATGGCAAGCAGTCTGATATAGGTTATAGAAGTACAGTCATGTAAAACATTTCCATATTAGTCGTTTTATGCAAGAAGACTCGAAGAAAGAAAAATAGTGTGCTTCAGTCTGTATTCAGACTTCAGTTCTTCTCTGTAAGTGGGCAGCATTTTTTATCATGAGTCCTTGGAACATTGTATTGCTGAGAACAGCTGGGTCATTCACAATTCTTTTATCATACAGTGTTGCTGTTGCTATGTACAATGTTCACCTGGTTCTGCTCACTTCACTTTGCTTCGGTTCATATAAGACTTTCCAGGTTTTTCTGAAATCATCCTGCTCATCATTTCTTATAGCACAATAATATTCTGCTACAATCATATACCCACAAGTTTTTCTGGCCATTCTCCAGTTGATGTGCATCCCCTCTATTTCCAGTTGTTTGACACCATGAAAAGAGCTGCTATGAGTATTTTTGAGCAAATAGATTACCTCCCCTCCAAAACACCAATATCAGCTTTCTTCTCCTCTGGCTCTCACTTAGCCAGCTGGCAGCAGGTGAATCAGTGCCTACTCTGGGCCACCTATCACATGAGGAAACACAACAAATGAGTGTCAGAATTTGGATTTGAACCCATGCCTTCCTTGCTCCAAGTCTAATACTTTAGCTTCTGAGTGGGGGAGCTGTAAAGGATTCAAAGTGTGTCTTATTTGAGTGGAGAAGGGGTCCTGGAGACCTCTAAATACCTTCTAGACACCAGGACATCTCTTCATAACTCCCTCCCCCCCCCCCCAGTCAGTCTTTTGCCACAGTTATTGCCTCTTGGCCCCCAATAACTTGAGATAGGGGTTGGTCTACCTACCACCTTAATTCTTTCCTGGGCTGTAGGACTCCAGTAGAGAAACTGTCCCAGAAACCTTAGTTTCTATTCAGAAGTTACCAGTCCTTTGTGAAATCATTGTTGAGAGTAAATGAAGTTTATTGTAGGAGAGGTGGGAAGAGAAAGTACTATCCTGGATCCTTGGAAAGATCAACCTATTTTTAACTTGCGTTTCTTGGGCAAATCATTTCTTCTATCTGGACCTCAGTTTCCACATCTGTACAATGAGGGCTTTGGACTTGCTCTCCAAAGCCTGGTTCTTCTCTGATTTTTTCAGAGGGTAGCTCCAGTTCTGTGGATAGAACTCCTTTATCAAAAGTAGGCTAGAATCTTAGAGCTTTGCTTCTTGGAGTAAATGAATGGTTTATCATTCTTGGGCCTCCCCTTCTCAGTTGACTTGCTTTTGAAAAGATAATGCTTAGGTATGAATGAACCAGTCAGTAACTTTCAGTAGTGAGTACCTTTTATTTGTACTATAAAGCATATAGGAAAGGAAAAAAAAAGAGCAAGTTCTGCCCTGGTGGAATTAATGATCTAGTTGGGAAGTCAAGATGAACATCCTAGAAATGATTAGCAGTTAAAAAAACCGGGTACAATAAAATCTGCCCAGAACTCATTGTTACTTCTTTATTGCTAAATATTGCAGGTAAATTTCAAACCACTTTGGATGATAATCTTTCCAGAATTTACTATAATTTTTTCCACTTTGTTAAATTCAGGTTATAGAACATAACCCTTTCTTGATGACTCAGCGTTACATATGAAAATTGTTTATACTGCTTAGTAATGTGTGCTTTCAAGTACATAGGGCACCTTGACTCTGCACCAGAATCATTAGGCTCACTGATTTCCTTTGTTCTGTATTATTTTCCTGGGTCCTCCTCCACCATCAGTGGTCCTTATCTTTTAGCTATGAGGTTCCTAGCTGGAGCAGACAGTTAACCACTTTCTGATTTACTATTAATCTGCCATATACATGAAATCCATATAGTTAAATTAGTAAGGAGCAGCTAGGTAGTACAGTGGATAGAGCATGGGCCCTGAAGTCAGGAGGACATGAGTTCAAATCCTGCCTCAGACCAAACACTTGACACTAGCTGTGTGACCCTGGGCAAGTCATTTACCCCCAACTGCCAAAAAAAAATTTGTTAAAATTCTTATTGAAAATTGGCCCTGAATGAGGGTTTGTCCTGCCAGTAAAGTGCATAAGCTTTAGTGAATGGAGTTTTTGTATTTTGATTGCTTGGAGGTCTTTTTTTTCCTAATTATTGACCATGCTTCTGCTAGTTGAAGCTATTAGATTGCTAAGTTCTATTAAGGCGTATTTTACTGAATTATAAGGGTGAAGGGAAGAGATGAGGTCCCTGGGGGATTTTAGGTAATATAGAAACCAAAGATTTTAGATTTGAAAAAGATCTTGTTTTGATTACTTTCTCTGCCACTAACTAGCTCTGTGATCTAGCACTAACTGGCTCTTTGGAGAGAGAAGAAATCAACAGAGGTTGTGCGTGGGACCTAAAGGGTGGGTAGGGTCTGACCCATTTGGGGCCTTCCTCAAGCGTAAATAGTGAGTGAAGAGTAAAAAACTTCAGATAAATAAAATGGTTCTCTTCTCAATAAGCAAGTCACAGTTCTTGGTTCTGCCCTTTTAGAATATAAAAGGAGAGCTCTTTTTGAACATGTTGTAACTGGCATTCAGGCGTGTGGGTCATGCAGCTCCCCTATCACTTTCCTTATTAATGTTTGCCAAGTTGAAATGTCTGAGACTGGCTGTAAGGACTATAAAGCAGAGGCAGCAGCATTTATTAAGTTTTGAAATCAAACAATTTAAATTAAATTTGAAAATTTTTAAATTAAACAATCTTTGTCAACTATAACACCCAGAACCAGGTTATAAACACATAATAGGCACTTGGTAAACAGGAGTTGATTCCATACCTCTCTTGCCTTCTTCCTTCAGCCTTCACCTCCCCCAGCACATCCAGGATGGTCAAGAAGAGTTGCCAAAGGGGCAGCTAGGTGGCGCAGTGGATAGAGCTCTGGCCTTGGAGTCAAGAGGACCTGAGTTCAAATCCAACCTCAGACACTTGACACTTATGAGCTGTGTGACCCTGGGCAAGTCACTTAACCCGGATTGCCTCACCAAAAAAAAAAAAAAAGCTGCCAACATTGAGGGGGACCCATCGCCCCATCCAATATCTTTCCCCTCCCCCTGCCCTTGTCTTTCCCAGAAACCATCCTGATGGTCAGATGTCAAGAATACTACCAATTGGGTGTGCCTAGCCCCTGGCATTCCTCTTTGCCTTGCCTGCTGGACTGCTCATAGGGATTAAACTCTCTTAACTCTGTTCTTTCTGATGAGATGGAGTACCCTGTCATGCCCCACAACCCTCTGTTCTGTCATCTTAACTATTTAAGTAACCTCAGGACCCCTGGGTTTTGTTTGCCCCACTCTTGCACCCTCAGTACTTCAGGACTTTACTCTTGACAACTGAACTTTTAGAGTGTGAGGTCCTAGAGGGTAGAGATTGTCTGGCTTTTTCTGTTTGAATCTCCAGCACTTAAAGCAGTATTCAGCACGTAGTAAGTGCTTAGTCCAAGATTCTTCATTCATTCCTTGGAACCCTGTTAAGCTTTGCATTTTAGTTAAGAAAGTTTATTACTGCTATGGGATTTGTCAGGTAACATCTGTGAAGTATGAATTCATTTACTGAATACTTTGAATTACTTAATACTTAATTTGTTTATCTAAACGGTACCTTAGTGTCACATTTAGCCAAGTCTTTTACAGGCAGTAATGGAGAGGGTGTGGCATATAGTAGAGTCTGAAGTCCCAGCTTCAGGGTCCAGCTGAGGGACCTTGGACCAGTCACATTCTTTCTTATCTTAGTGGGGGCTGTGAATGATAACACTTGTACTTTAGGGGTGATGTCAGATCAGCTGTGAGAATCTGTTGCCCTTCCTTGATGAACACTGATGGAGAGAGTGGTGTTGTGGATAGAGAACAGGCCTGGCAGTCCGTTGTGGCTTTCCATGCCTTCTG